AACAAAACAAAGGTGAAAGAGTATGAGATGAGCGTGGAGAATCTCGAGTAAGGAATCTGGATGTTACGTATGGTGCCAAGGGAGACTATTGGAGGATTTTAGATTGTTTATAAAGGTAAGCCTGGCAGCTGCAGGGAGGAGGGGATTGTAGTAGGAGGGCAAGAGTGCAAGCAGGGAGTCCAGTTAGGACACCGCCACAGCTGTCCAGGCAAAAGTTGCTAATGGTTTGGACATAGGGCCTGGAAAAAACAAGAGCAAACATTTGTTGAGCACTTACCTGACAAGCACTATCTGAATACCTACATATATTAACTGGTATGAACCCTGACTCTGCTACTTACTAGCAAGTTAGACTTAAGAGCCTCTATCCACTCATTTATAAAGTGGAGATATCAGAATCTACCTTACAGAGTGGCTGTGAGGATTATTAGATAATACAAACCATGTACCATGCTTACCTAGAGTCTAGTTCAGCCGTGGGCACACTACGGCCCGTGGGCCGGATCCGGCCCATTTGAAATGAATAAAACTAAAAAAAAAAAAGACCGTACCCTTTTATGTAATGATGTTTACTTTGAATTTATATTAGTTCACACAAACACTCCATCCATGCTTTTGTTCCGGCCCTCCGGTCCAGTTTAAGAACCCATTGTGGCCCTCGAGTCAAAAAGTTTGCCCACCCCGGTCTAGTTACACATAGTAAGTGTTCAATAAATGGTAGCTGCTGTTATTGTTAATTCTGCATAGACTTACATTTTCTCCTAAACTTTTTATTTCCACTTCCTCAACCACAGGAAAAAACATAAAGAGAGACACAAATCCCCTCTCTACAGCTTCTAGCTCCAATGTGCTAGGCTTCTATCCTGTTTCCCCAGAAAGGCCAGGGGTGGCCCCCCTGCCCTCCCCAAGCAGGGTTGGCCACACAGGCCCATTAGCTCCTGAAGCCCCATTAGCCCCAAGTGTGCTGACACCCACCTCTCCACAGACCCACGTGTTTGACTTATCCATCAACAAGTACGAGGCCATCTGCAATCAGCCCGTGGTGGCCAAAAAGAAGAACAAGATCACCCACGTGCAGTTCAATCCCGTCCACCCCATCATCATTGTGGGCGATGACCGTGGGCACGTCACCTGCCTCAAACTCTCACCCAACCTGCGCAAGATGCCAAAGGTATGCTTGGGAAGTGTGGGCTACCAAAGGAAATAGTCTCAGGGCAGTGGGGGATGGGAGAAATGGGAGGAGCCAGGGGGTGACCCCCAGGTTTGTGGCTTGAGAGACGCAGGGTAAGGGTGATGCCACGGCCCAAATGAGGAGCATAGGAGAAACAGGTGTGTGGGGAGACAATGACTGGACATGCTGAACCTGAGTTTCCTGCAGGGCCCCCAGGGGCATATCCAGTGAGTAGGTGACCATATGGGTCTGAAGCCTGGAGGAAGCACATGGGTACCACTGGCTTATCTGGTGTAGACCAGGTCACCCGGGCAGGGTGCTTGGGGCTTAGTCATTGGCTGGGCTTACGCAGGCTTCAGCTCCAGCGGTCCCTGTGCTGGGAACTGTGGGACCACACAGGGAAGAAGGAAATGAGCCATGAGGAGGAGAACTAGGTCAGCAGCCAGACAGTCCTCCTTTTGAGCGCTGGTTCTTTTCTGAGATGTCTAATGACCTGGAGACCCTCCTCAGAGCCCAAGGGCCCCAAATACAAGCCACGCTGCCCAGAGCCCTGATCTCAAAGTCAATGGTAGATTTCAAAAGTCCAGATTTAGACTGAAGAACCCGGGCTTAGAATCCAGAGCCCAAGGGCCCAACTTAAAAACCAAAGCTCGGGAGCTCAGAGTTCAGTCCTGCCCACTTGGTTGCTAAGAGGGGAAATGGAACGTGTTTTCTGGGCCAGGATCAGAGGTGATCCAGGGCTGGGCCAAGTTGCCCTAATGACTATACTTTGTAGTTGCAATTTGAGGCATTTACTGCAGTTTGAGGCAAGGGCAGGGGCCTGTCATTTTTAACAACTGACACCGGCCCCTCTGCACCCCTACCAAGGCAGAGGCCACTGGGCCATCCCTCTGGTGCTGGCCTGTTCTCTTCCCTTCCAAGGCCAGGGAGGCAAGGGCTGGAAGTTTGGCCAGGCCTGTAATTGTAGCCAGCTGGGGGAGGGGCTGGACTTGGCTATAAATACTCAGAAGGCTGCTAAGCGCCTGCAGCTGTGGCCCAGAGGCTGTGGTGGGCTGGGGCTGGGGGTGGAGTGGTCGGGTGTGGCCAAGTTCTCTGCTGAGCCCAAGCTAGTTGGCCTCAAGGAGGGGGAAGGAGGCAGCACAATTAGTGGAACAGATAAAATCTGCTCTTAATTTAGTGAGGAGCGAGACCCAGGCTTGAGCTGGCAGAGCTGGACAGGCTGTGAGAGAGATGATGGTCATCTCTTGGGGTGGGGGACAGCCCTCATGCAATGAGGGTGGTAGATCTGGGTGGGACCTGCTCTGCCCACTCTGACCCAGAGAGGCCAGGATCTCCCAGTCAGATCCAACTCCTCTCAGAGCAAGGGCGTCATGCCTGGGAGAGCTGGGCTCCGTGTATCTGGTGACCTGAGAACATGGGCACTTTGGGATTAGGGGACCTGAGTATGTGCCAACTGAAAGCTGATACTTGGGTGGACTGGAGGTTCCTGTGAAATGGCCATCCTATCAGCAGCCAAGTGATTGGCGCAGACAGAAGTGTCCTGGTCGTCGCTCCTGACCCTCCTCCGGGGCTGCAGCCCCCTGCCCTTCCCAAGCAGGACTGGCCACACAGGCCCAACTCCTGGCCCAGGGAACTTCCCATGGGAAGCGTGTCAAAGGCCAAGGACCACCTTGCCCTAACTACTGTGTATATAGGTGGGAAATTGAAGTTTAGAAAGGCAAGGGACTTGCCCAAGTCATAGAGGGGGTTAATGACAAAGCTGGAACTAAATCCAGGTCCCCTACCTCCCAGGGGATGGGATGAGGCCAAGAAGAGAACATGAACTTAATTTGGGAGTGTGGGAAGGAGAGAGAAAGACATCTTTGTCCTCTGCCTTGAGAGTACAGAGGTAAGCTGGGTCGTACCAAAGGCAGGGGCCCGCCAGGGGAGGGAGACAGGTTTGGGAGCAGGTGCAGGGGTCACACCAGGAGGAATCAGAGCTCCAAATGGTGTCAGCAGCCAGGATGGGGCCAGGAAGGGGGCTGCTGGCCTTGCACTCTCTCCCACCTCACAGCCCAGGCCAGGTCCAGGCAGGCTCAGCAGGCA